AAAAGAAGATGAGGGCTCAAGAATAACAGGATACGTTTCAGAATTAAAAGAGCGTTTCACCTGAGTTCTGTGTTGTCAGGTGTTTTGTCTAAATAGAACTCATCTATTTATGGATTTCAGAAAAAATATTAAACCAAATCAAAAGCAGCATGTAGTTTAGATTACTCCTTAAGGAACACGTGGCCCTTTATTATAACTGTTCTACAAATTAATGCTTGCTATACACGTGCCTTATAGGTGGTTTGTGAAGAAATTCTTCACCTGTTTTCTCATTTTGCAACTGCAATTGAGTGTGCATATGTTCTGTAGTTGGGTTGGACTCTTCTGAGAAACTACACCAGAGTTAGAAACAAAAAGACATGCTGCTTAGGTTTGCCTGTCCCTATCAGAAAATGTTTCCATGGCCATAGTAAATGTTTGAAGTTGGTGGAAGAGTCTTGCTTCTTATATTCCTCAATATCCTCCCCTTTTCTTCACAGTCTAGTATCTCCTCCTGCTGATAAAGCTGGAAAACACTGGAATGAGTTGATCACGCTGTTGCAGATGTCCACGTCTCCTACGCTGGACTCTGTGGCTGCAGTTCCTTGCTGTGCTAGCTGACAGAGAAGTTATTTTCAAAGTTTAGGGACTTGCGTGCAGCCAAGGCAAGGGCAAATCTTGCTTTATGTTGATGAATGTATCTATGCTAAACTGTAATTCAGAAACTTCAGATCTATTCATATAGGAGTGAAGACTTCTATTTTGTATTTGAAAAATACCTAATATAAATTCAGTGGTTGAATTATGCTGCTGCTACCAAACCTTACCTTAGGTTTTTATCCATTTTTCAGAAAGAAAAGTTTACTAGTGCAGCTGATGAAGCAGAAAGTGTTCAACAGTCTATGCAAGGTATGTCTGCTGCTAAACTAAACAAAGAACAAAAAAGCTGCAGAAAATAAATGCAAAATAAAGGGATTTTTTTCTACGTGCTTTCAAATATACACCTGCTGGTGCAGCAGTTTCAGCAGCTATGGAAGGGGCAGGATTACTTGCAGCCTCTTCTTAAGAGTAATATACCTTGCAAGTAGGTGGAATTGTCTGCATGTAAGTAGTTACTAACTTTGTTTTAAAAATTTTACTTGCATAGAAACAATAAAAAAACTAAACCAAAAAGAAGAGCAGTTTGCACTCATGTCTTCAGAACTGGAACAGCTGAAGTCTAGTTTGACTGGTAAGGAAGTAATAAAATGAAATGTTTTGAAAAATGCATCAGCTTTGTGCTTGCATATGCCTCCTGCTCAGCTCGCCGCATCGTAGTATGCAATGCTTTCACAAATGTGTATGCCTCCAAAAGAAAACAGCTTTGTGGCACTGTGTGTGGTGACACAGCGAGGTGACCGTGGTGTTAAGGGAATAGCACAGTAAGGTGGAAGATTTCCTGGTTGAGTGTATTCCAGATCAGTAGTTAAATTCTTGTTTGATGTTGCAACAAAATGATGCTGTGGTAGCAGTCAGGTACCAGTCGAAGGCTTGGGGACCAGACTGAAGCATTACGAATGTAAGGTCGTTAATTCACAGAAGCCTTGTCCATAAGTGGTGTTTTCTTTTTAAGGACATCAAAAAGACTGTACGTTAGGCTGGTCGTCTGCTTCTTCCTATCTCAGAGGAGGAAGTCTTGCTATATCTTTCTAGTTGTACATCTTGATTTAAAACCAGTCTAGAAAGAAATTAAGAATGTGTATGTACCCTGTAAGCAGCCTTTCAAACCATTGTTGGGACTGCAGAAGTCACCCAAGGGCTGCCCTTGCCCTCGGTGGCATTGCCTGCCCTGGACCAAGTAATTTTTTTCCTACAGCTTCATGTTGCTTGCATTGTTTGTCTTCCGCTGCTCTATTAACTAGCGGGTGAGTTGTCTCACCTGCAGGGTGTGCAAACCTCTCTCATTATATTGCTCGATCACCCTGTGATACGGGTAGAACTCGTATCAGCTTCTCGTGGCCTGAACTGAAGTGAATCACTTCTGAAAGACAGATTTCTTGGCTAGTTGCTTTTTTACTATTTCTGAAGAGTTCTTAACCTTCTGCTACAGTTAAGAGTTCAAAAAGTCAAGCAGTCATAATGTTTTATTTTAAAGGGGTAATTTGCAAGCTCTGTAGCATCAGTATTGCTCTGCTTATAGTTCTTTACTATCCTGTAGCTAGTCTGTGCATATACCCTTTCTCTGACATTTACTAGAGTGCTAATCTTTGTCTTGTCCAGTGATGGAGAAGACACTGAAGGAGCGAGAAGAGAGGGAGCAGCAACTGATTGAAGCTAAAGCGAAACTTGAAAATGATATTGCAGAGATCATGAAGTCTTCAGGAGACAGCTCTGCCCAGCTTACGAAAATGAATGATGAGCTCCGGTTAAAAGAAAGGTATTCCATCAGTGTCAGAACATTTTCACGTTAATTCTTTGCTCCCAGCTCCTCATTTTATCTTTTGTAAATACCTGAACAAGATGCTCCCAAGTGTCACATTGATATGACAAGTGAACTTATTCTATCAAACTAAATTCATCAAAACAGTCTCCTCAGAGTGATTTGAAGAGCATCTAACATTTATAATTCTAAAATTCTTATGCAACGTGCTTCTTATTGTACAGAGCAAATGAAGGTTTTAATAATCTAGACTGTTTTGTGATCGTGTTTCTTAAGTATTTGATTACCTGATAAGCTTGGTTTATTTGGATACATAAAAGATTTGGGTCACATCTTTGACCAGCAAGAGAAAATGTGTTTTGGTTCAAATAAAAATTGTATGTACAGTAGTTTTTTTCCTTTACAAAACTCTAGACTGAGGGCAGAGTAACTGACAGCTCTGTTACTCTGCACACAACGAGCAAGTGCTCAGTGTCACTTGTATATATTTAATTTAGTAGTACATTCTCTATATGTTAAATAATTAAATCTCTTCCTAAATGCTTGGGCAGGATATAGAACTTCAGCATATTTTAGAGTCTTTCATCTCTGTGCTTGTTGTGCTGTCAGCAAAAAATAATGTTTTTTTATTTGGTCTTTCTAGGCAGTTGGAGCAAATACAACTTGACCTTACAAAAGCAAATGAAAAGGCTGTTCAGCTTCAGAAAGATGTGGAGCAGACAACACAGAAAGCTGAGCAGAGTCAGCAAGAAACTCTCAAGATTCATCAAGCAGAACTGAAAAACATGCAGGATCAACTAACAGACATGGTAAGAACAACTTTAAAAAGCAGTTGCTAACTATGTGCAGAATATATATAGTACCACCGCTCCTTTAACTGTGTTCTGATTGTTTTATCTTCTGTCAGAAAAAGCAAATCGAGACTAGCCAAAATCAGTACAAGGATCTTCAGGCAAAGTACGAAAAAGAAACTTCTGAGATGATGGCTAAACATGATGCAGATATCAAAGGGTTTAAGCAGAACTTGCTGGATGCGGAAGAGGCACTGAAAATTGCACAGAAGAAAAACGATGAGTTAGAAACACAGGCTGAGGAGCTGAAGAAGCAAGCGGAACAGGCCCAAGTATGTATATCTGTTACTCTGCAAGTAATTTAAAGTTTAAATCTCTGTTTCAGTGAATCACTGGTTTTTGCCTGGCTTCATAATGTCATAGGAGGATTTTTGCAGTGTTTAGTTTTTGAACTTTTCCAGGGCAGATTAATGCTGGTTAGAGAAGAGAAGCATACACGACTAACTGGTTGTCTTCTCTAGATTACACGAGAACCCATGGAATGCAGTTCTTTGATGTGAACTTGTGTTCATAGATATCTGGCTCAGCACAATCAGTTGAAGCCAAATGTTATTCTGGTTTTTTTTAATGCATTAATTCTAAATAAAATATGTTGTGAACTATTTCATTTAAATGTTATGTACCTGAAATTTTGTTCTGTAGTATGATCCCATATGATGTGCAACTAAGTAGCTTGACTTCACTAATTTTCATTTTTCTCCTGTTTCTTTGACATTGCTGCTTGCTTTCATCCCTCATGAGTTATTTGCTATAATCTTTGTTTTATGCTTTAGCAAAAAAATTCATGTATACATTGGCGCACAAGTTAACTTTAAACACTCCACTGATGTGGTGTTTTGCATTAAATGCGTTATGACAATATGTTTTGGACAGAATCGTGAGGACAATTAGCTATAGCAGGTGAATTTGAGAATTGGAAGTCAGTATTTAATGTAACTTCCTGCATTTTAATTCACTTAGATTCTCATGAAATCATTCTGTGCCTCTCTTCTGAGTAATTTACATTCAGAAAATTTGTTGAGAGGAGTTTTAAAAACAAGAAGAAGTCTTGTATAGAGGAACCTTCAAACCATGATTTAATTTTTTTATTATTTAACCACTGAAAAGTTTTGCTGCAGAGTGGCTGTTTTGTGATGAAATATCGGTGGTGGCTGTCAGCAGCTGAATTCACACAGGGACTGTGTGTCAGTGTGTACATTTTTTTTAAATCTGAAATTACAATAGCTCTGTTTGCCCTTAAACCACATTTCTCATTTGTCTGCTTGACTTAATTTTTGTTTTCCCATCTCCCGACTTTGTTTCTTTAGTCCTTAAGCTCTGTGTTAGCATCAGCCAGAAAAGAGATTGAACTAATGTCAGACAAGATGAGAGGTTTGATATCAGAAAAAGAGACTCTGGCACAGGAGGGGAATGCTTTAAAATTAGAGAGAGGTTCCTTGTTATCAAAACTTCTAGAACTGGAATCAAAGATTTTGTTAATGCAACAAGAGCAAGAAGAACTTTGGAGAATAAAGGAAGAACTTAATTCAGAAAATCAAAAAATCGTAAAGCAGAAGGAAGAAGCTGAGGCCAAAAGCCAGCAGGAAAGCACAGAAAAGGTAGCACTGGTTTCTGAGAAAAGCAAATTGCTCTCTGAAATAGAGGCAGCACAGGCAGACCTTCTGAAGAGAACTCAAGAAAATGATGCTCTCCGGTCTTCAGAGTCAACCTTGCTCCAGCAGTTGAAAGAACTTCAGGCCAACAAAGATGCCATGGATGTGGTATGTCAGAAACATATCCAAGAACGGGAAGAACTGGAGTGTTATCAGAAGAAACTTTTGGAAGAGAAAGATGCAGTCATTAAAGACAAAGATGATGTTATTCAGAAGCTGGAAAGCTCTTGTGAGGCCCTGGCCAGAGATCAAAGAGAGCTACTGCAAGAAGTGTCAGCTCTGACTGCAGAGAGAGATTCAGCCCTAGGTAAACACTCAGATCTTAAAAATAAACATACAGCCTTAAAAACTGAACTGGACAGTCTATTGCAGACAAGTCGGAGTCTGCAGTCCGAGAAGGAGATGCTCCTTAAAAGCACAGACGAGCTGCGTGTGAGTTTAGACAACGCGGTTAGCGAAAACCAAGCGTTAAAAGTGAGAACAGAAGAGATGCAAACAGAACTCGAGACTGAACACAAAGAACTTGAAAAAGCAACAAAAGACAATATGGAGTTGAAGGATTCGCTTGCTAGTCTCTCTTGTCGTCTTGAGGAAATAAAAGCGGAGAGAGAGAGATCCAATTCTGAATGTATCCAGTTACTTCAAGAGAAAGAGGCTCTTTCTTCCTCGGAACGAAGGCTTTTGGCTGAAAGGGAGGAACTTTTAGATGAAAACAAGGCAATTGCCGAGAAGCTTGCTACAGCCACAGAAGATGCCATACTTGCTGAGAAAGTCTTTACTGAGAAAATAAACAAACTGAATTTAGAAAAGGAATCTGTTTGTCATAAGTCGTTGCAATTTGAAAAGGACAACAAAGTTCTTCTTCGAGAGAAGAATGAATTGGAGAACAAATACTCAGAGCTTCTCGAGGAAAACAAATCTTCTGCAAAGACAATTTCTGATATGAAGAGAGAACATGAACTGGCTGTCTCAGCCAGGAGAGCTCTGGCCCAAGAGAACACCATGCTCCGAGATTCCGTGGAAGCCCTCAAGGAAGAACTAAGAAAGAAGAGTCTAGAAAATCAAGAGCTAACAGCCTGTAAGTGTGACCTTTCAGATCTTCTGAAAGAGGCCCAGGATGCCAGAAGGACACTAGAAAATGAGCTGGCGGCTGTGTCCCATGCCAAGCAGGTCCTGTCATCATCGTTGGAGACCTGTTCCTCTGACAGGGAAAGGCTGAGCAGAGAGAGGGCGGAATTGCAAGATAAGTGTCAGAAATTAGTTGGAGAGGTTGAGATTCTGAAAGAAAACTTAACCATAGAAAAGGAAGCTGGAAAACTGGACAGGGAATCATTTTTGTTGGAACGTACGGAACTTCAAAGCAGCGTCAGCTTCTTAGAGAAGGAGGTAGAGGAGCTGAGAGAGAAATACAAAGAACTGCTGACTGAGAAAGAATTTTTAGTTCAGGAGAAAGAAAAATCTGAAACCAAACTGGCAGAAATAATTAAGGAAAAAGAAACCCTCTGTGCAGAGACAGAGCAGCTCGTTTCCAGTATGGAACAACTGAAGGGTGACTTTGTTTCCTTGTCTAAATCAAAAGCAGAGCTCCAGGACTTGCACAGCTGCATCTGCGAGAGGCTGGATGATCTTCAACACAGGCATGAGGTGATGGAGGAGGAGAGAATACAGCTGCTGCAGGAAATTGACAGCCTGCTCGCTGAACAGAAGAGTCTGGTCATTATTAAGGAAAAAATACTGAAAGAGAAGGAGAAATTCTCCAAGGATTACTATAAACTGCACGAGGAAGTAGCACTTTTAGAACAAACTAATAGTGACCTCTCAGGCAAATTGCTGGTCTCTCAGGGCAGAAATGAGATGCTGCAGGAGGAGATGAACAATCTGGCTTTGAAACTAAAAGAAATTGAGACTCTCCAGGCCCAAACAGTAGCGCAAAAAAATGAGGTATTGAAACACGTAGTTAAACAATAATCCAGTACGGTTATACTAATACTGAGCACTAACCCAGTGGTTTCCTCTCTGCATTTCATTGCACAATCAGCACTTCATCTCCGTATAAACAGGCTAGAATTATCGTCTCTCTATATATATTACTTTGGTTTTTTTTCAAGCTATGAGTCTGAAAGACACTTTAAATCTAATTTTTTAAATAATATTTCTAAATTTAAAAGCCTATGCTGTTGCTGAATGTTGCAAGAAAACAACGTAAACTGTGAATAAAAGGAAGTTGTGTTTCCTGAATCTGGTAGGAGGGATCCAGCAGCTCCTTCTGTTGACGTACTCTGCATCTTGAAAGCTAGAGTAGTGATAGAGATGGTTTTAGATGAGGTCTTTGTGCAATTTTATGTTAAATTACAAACTTGAGTTACTCAAAAAGTATAAAACAACATACTGCTTCTGTAAATGTAATTGAACAAAAGGCAGTGTAAGAGAATCATTTAAATTTACATCATAGGACTTTCAGTCTGTTGAAAACATTGGCAATTCTGGTGTTCTTTTTATTCACAGAAGTGTTTTGTATTCACCGCCAACAAATTCTGAGTATTGTTTCGAATTTCAGTTTGTGGGACTTGAAGCCCTTAAAATAACTTTGAATACGAATTGGAATCACGATATCCTACGGGAATGTATGATGCCTACCTAGGTATCTAAATGCACTTGTAAAGTATTTCCTTTTATGAGGGCGTAATGAACAACACTGAAATAATGCCATAATTGGCTTTCTCTCCTATTTAACTTTTAATTCTTTTTCACATTTTTAACAGCTTTGTATAATTCCCCATTTTCTGAAAATAGAGCAGTCTGTTGGAAGTGAATATCTATTGAGCTCCTACTGTCTAAAGTGGTTAGAAGTTTAAGTGGTGGTAATCACAGCGGTGGTAATTAGAAATCCAGGAGTTAAAAAAAGAAGAAATGGGCTTCCTTGGCGGTAACGCAAGCATGGGGTTATGATCTGTATCTGCATGGAACTGAATCTTCTCATGCCCATTTATTTTTATACTTTATGCAGCTTCAAAATGCAACTAAATTCCCAGTTGAAGTCCTTGTTTAATTGGAAAGCAGCTGGCAAACCGTGGAGCTGTGCATAAAGTATTGTGGATCATCTTTTGCGCCCTTTGGTAATACTTTTTTCCCCCCCCCCACTCCCCTCTATATATAGGCTGCCAAAATGGCAGAAGATGTTTTCCAGACTGTGGAGAAGGTGACCAAAGAGAAGGATGCCATTCACAAAGAAAAGATTGAAACTTTGGCCTCCTTGGAGAACTCTAGACAGACAAACGAGAAGCTACAGAATGAAGTAATCACATTTAAATGCTTCTACATGAAAGGTTTTGCCTAGTTCGTAAGGAACAACTATTAATTACAGAGAATTAGCTTAAGCAAGAGTGGGTTCTGTAATTTTTCCACCACAATAGTCTTGACTGGCGTGTGAAAACTTACTGGATGAGTGCATATTGATGGAAAATCTGGATATAGCTGCATGACCTTTGTTCTTTCATATTTTGCATGTGATTTGAAATACTTCACAGCATATAAGGTCCTGTCCCTTATTTTTTTTGTTGCTGCGCCAAGATTTATCTTATGTAATAGGAGTTCTGGATGCTACAGCAGCTTTTGCAGATCATAGAGTCAAGAGACATGGGTTTGACCTAAGGCTTAATCAGTCTTGCTCTCTAGCTGTGGATAAGTTGCTCAGATGTGACCACTCTGTGCTTCATATCCCTGGTTGTAAGTATGGGGTGCAACGTCACGCACCAGTGCAGTGCTACAGAACTCCAGTAACAGCACTCCTAACCTCTTTGTCATCTTGACACGTGTAATGTTACCATTTCTCCTTTTTTCCACTTTTCTGTTAATCAGAATTGTGGTCTAAGGCCCAAACTCCCCTGAGCTATCCGAATACTGCACTACGCAAATCCACGGGCACAACTGTCCCAAAGAACTTCCCAGTCCAACATGTACAGCCCCAGCCGCTCCTCTAGGGACCCGTTGTCAGTCTGTGTCCTCCCACCATTTTGTGATACTTCATGGTTCGAAGAAGGGAAGAATGTCCTCACTCATCTCTTTCACGCTCTCTTGCACCAGAGTATCTAGTCGAACACTGAACTGGCATCTTTTCTGCAGGTGTTGAGCGCCCTGTGGCCCCTCTTTGATGGCTCTTTGATCTTTTGCAGCTCCCGTTAATACCGGGTAGTGAACAGCTGGGCTGACCTAAATGCCACAGCTTGTGCTGAAACAGGAATGATTTCCAGAGAGATCTGATGACTCGAGAATTAAAAGTGGTGACGTTAATAATGGCAGGGGTTCGCTTGCTGGATTTAAAAACATAATAATCCACAGGGTCCTGCGATGCCATGAGAATGGCTGAGGATTATCTGTTATGTAATATAATGTGTTACTGAATGCAAACAAATAAGGTTTGCAAGCTCGGGGTGTTTTCGTGGTAGATGCAAGCTCAGTAAATAGATATTACAACAATTTGTTCTGTGCAACAAGATCTCTGAAAGGAATTCATTTCTGATGGTTGCAAGCACAGCGTTCAGCCTACTGTTCCTCAGAAATTAAGGTATGGTAAAGCAGAACTTTTTAGCACTTACCTTGGAGGAATAAAGATCCAGTGAACAGTTCATTTGAGTGACAAGCATTGAATTTAAAAAGAAGAAATGTGCTTTGAGTTGTGCAGCGTGTAAAATGGAGGTGCCTTGGAGCTTTACTTTTCCTATCGGGGTATATACATCAGGTTACTGTAAACTGCTCTTCAGTGGACTTGGAATTCTTTGTGCTGCTTAACACGAATGCAGAAAGTCTTGCAACATTTGTTGTTAGACAACTGCTACAACCAGTACAAACAGACTGAATTAATTGAAGGACTAAAGATGAGAAAGTAGAACAGCTCAGCTCAGGTCCCCATTTTGTTGAGTCTCTTTTCTGAGTGCTACACCTAAGGACTGTATAGTTTCATTAGTGTAATGAGGTTTTTTTCCTCTTTAAGTTGGACATGCTTAAACAAAACAACCTGAAAAATGAAGAGGAACTTCATAAATCAAAGGAGCTTCTAAATCTGGAGAACAAGAAAGTGGAAGAACTTACAAAAGAATAGTAAGTATTTGAATGTTGAATCTGTTAAACCATCACTTTGTAGTTACATTTCCCTTTCATATTTTAAAAAATTGTCTTTCAGTATTTTCAGTGTCCTCACTTACAAAGCTGATATTAGGTCAAAATTTAGTATTAGTTTGACGTGCATAAAACTTGAAATCACAATGTTGCTCCTGAATTGCTGCAGGGTATTGAAGCAAATCCTTCCCTCCAAGCATTGTTTGAAATAATTTGTTTGTTGGAGGAAGTATATAGTTCTGCCACCTGAGGGCACTAGGTTATTTTAAAAGCTTTATTGTAAAGAAATTGTTTGGATTTAATTACAAGTGTTAAGTAGGTTTACATGGCTTTGTTTACAGACAATCAGGTTTTGCCTTTTTTTTTTTTTTCATCAGTGGCTTTATCCAGTTTATTCCCGTTGTCCCACGGTGCATTTATTTCCGAACTGGTGCAATACCAATGCCGTACATGGTATGGAAAAGTAGGGTTAATTGCTTGGCATTTCAGATGCTGCATTTGAGAAACTACCTCTTACATACTACAAACTAATCATGTGTAACATTGTACACAACAAATTCCCTGCAAAGCATCTGATATAAAGCTTTTGGTGTGCCGCCGTGAATAAAAATCCAAGTTTCTGCTACCCTGCAGTAGCTGCGTGTCCCCCGACTTTCAGAGATGTGCTGCATCAAATCACAAATCTCTGTTCCCACCTGCACGGCCAGAAGTTCTTGATTCATGGAGTGAGAGCTGGAATCTGGACTGAGAGCTAAGAGCAGCTTTGGCTAATTATAATTATTATTATTATTATTATTGTTAGTTCCAGAAGTCATTTAGTGACAGTTCTTAACCACTGCTCTGAGGTGAGGACAGGACACAAAGGAAATAAACGGAATTAATACCAAGTTTCTGTGTGATTGACAGTTTTTACTGCTTGCTGGCAAAATCCTGCACGCTTGGATAGGCAGCAGCCTCCCGCGAGAAAGGCAGGATTGCAGCTGTGAGCAATTCCCACCTGCCTCAGTGCTCGTGGGAAATGCCGAAGGAGAACAATTCTTTCCAGAGCAGTTGCTCTCATGCTGGAACAGCAAGGAAAAAAAGAAAGACAAAATACATTAGACTGTAATTTGTCAAGCAGCAGTTATTTAGAGAAGATCCTTCCTTGAAAATCTGCAGCACTGAGAGGTGTTCTCGTGACCCTGACCACTTTGTGGGTGTTTTTTTTTTTTCCTTAAGATTAATCTTTAGTCATAGACTGTTGCTGACTGTGGTCTCTAATCATCTGCAGTATGAGACACTGTGGAGAAGTGGAAGCTTGTCTGGTTTTTTTTTTAATTGATCTTTGTTGTCATGATTATTTTGTGTGTTGCCCTGTTTTAATTAGAGCAAGGAATTAGCCTGATAAGGGGCATTTGTTGCTCAGCAGTGCTGTGGGCAGAGAGAACACCTTGGAGAGGTGAGTTGATGAGGCAGTGCCTTGCCCCTGTGGCAGGGGACAGGGGAAATTTTGCCACAGGAGCTGCGACTGTAGGTAGGGACAGGCTGCTGCCTGTAGAGCAGTGCCTTCTGGAGGTGGGAGGAGGTGACAGTGACACTGGTGTCCCTTGTAAAAGATCATTTCATGTAAAACCAGGATGAAGAAAAGCAGAAATACCGGCTGGGTGTTGTGTATTCATGGAGTACTGCACGCCGCCAAGTGCACTGGCAGCTAGCAGTTTCAAGCTCCTGCTTGGACTGAACAGAGCGCAGTGTTGCACACACCCTGACCCTGGAATTCTGTGTGCTTTTTTTACACAGACCCCAGTATTCTGTGTGCTTTTTTTACAATGCCCTGAATGTACGCTTTAATGCCAAAAGCAAAAAGAGGAGAG